AATGTTTGTTGTGACACCCTCTACCCCATCATTAATACACAATAAATGTAAAGAAATTTTTTTTTTTTGAGTAAATAAAATTTTTCGTAGTTGACAACATCTTTCATGTATAAAACAAATGTTTCAATATCATAAGGTAGAAGATTCACATTCGTAACTCATAAATCATAGAAAATCATCTTGTAAGTATCAAAATTCAAGAGATCATATAAAAAGAAAATATAGATTAATTCCAGCAAAGGTGGCAGTGCCTCCTAGTTAGGAATTAATTTATAACTTTAAAATCATATAATAAAATAGTATAACAAAGATGTACATTTTGGTTTTTTCTCAAGAACGTTCAAAATTACATAAGAAGAGAAAATTAAATCTTTTAAAACAATAACATCCCAAAAAACAAGCCTAGCTATGCCCGATGTCACATCCTATCAAAGCATGCCCCACTGAAGTCTTAAGCCTCATCACCAACATCCCCATGATGCTAATGATTTGATTTTGATGAGTGCTGCCATTAATTAGTAGTTCCTACATGTATTCCGTACTTATATTCTATTTTAAACCTTTTTTTAATAATGCTCAATCAATATCGTAATTTTTTTAAAAAAAATTAATGTAATTGATAAATATTAAATTTATCATATACTTATATGTTTTCTAAATGTATTTTAACACACATTTATAAAAAAAATTAAATATTTTTTAATCCTCGTTCACTTACTTTACTTTCAAATTTCTATAATTTAAAATATATTTTTATATTTTTATATTTATCATTTCCAAATTTTTTAGTTTTATAGTTTAAGATGGTTTTTTCTCTCTATATTTACAATTTTTTAATCATTTTAATTTTTGTCGTTGATATTATCTTTTTTGTGTTGATATGATAAAAATATTAATTCAATTTTATATGTTGTAAATTGAATTTATTTTATTAAAGTTATCTTAGATAAGGTCATTCGACGCTTCTTTTTTATCCTCACTTTCGATACTTTGCTTAAATACATTTTTTACTTTCATAAAATTGAAACTTCTACTGATAACATTATAAAATAATTAACAATAAAGACTAAAAATAATTAAAATATATATCTATCTAAATCATAAAAACTAAAAATATTAATAAAGTTAATAATAACGATTACAAATATTTATTTAAAACTATAGATATTAAAAAGAAAAGTAAACAAAATTATAAGAACTAAACAAATATTTAAACCAATAAAAAATGCAAATTGTCTCTTGAATTAATGAATTTTTAATTAACTTACGCACTAATTAGGAAAATTAATTAACTTCATTTAAATTTAATAATTTCATTACAAAATTATTCTCTTTCTAGAGTAGAATATAATTTTTTATGTTTAACATTTTTGCACACCCTTTAATACATATTTAATGCTAATATAAGTCTAAAACACTCTTATTTAATATCTTTAACAAGAATAATCATGAGTTGGAATAATAATAGTTAAATATCAGCATATATAAAAAAAATGTTCATTAATATTGAAATTTATAAAACATCAAACATTTTAGAACAAAAAAGAAAGCCCAAAATATAAAATAATAATAATAATAAATAAATAAATAAAAATAAAAATTATGATCCAGAGGAAGTATTTTCTTTCCTACAGTACCTTCATTGGAACTTTATATTAAGAATATCAGAAGTGTCATTAATAATAGAATCTTAATTAAATTAAAAATACTTTAAAGATAATATCATTAAATAAAATAAGAGTCTATTTGCATATAAACTAAAAGTATTTTTGGGAACTTCTTTACTATATAAAAAATAGTATTTCCTAATAAAAATCTCTCAAAAACACTTATAAATTTGTATCCAAACAAATTTTACAAGCAATTAAAATTTGTTTATATATAGGTCCATGATACGTGAGATTTTATTTTTGTTTATGTTTGAGTTTGGAGGGAGTAGTATAAATTAATAAAGATAAATGCATTCTCTCTTTTAAAGAATTGTAGAAGATGACTAGTACAGGTGAAAAATATTCGAGCGAAAATAATGAAATAATGAGTTCCAATAATTTTAAAGGAAATTTTAGTTAATAATACAAAGTGTAAACAAATTTAATGTTACTAAATAAATTAACTAATTTTACCAACATTCGTTGGTCTAAGTGAAATTCAACTTAGTAGCTTTAGGTTATTTTAGTAACTTTCTTTTCTTTATAAATATTTTCTTAATTTTGACCTTGTATTTATAGGTTAATTAGTAATATAGAAAATTAATTTCTTGTAATTAGTACTTTCATGGTGTAATTGGTATTTTGAAAAAGGCGTGACTAAAAGTAGGGGTGTGCATAATTTAGTTTTTTAAAAAAATCACACCAAACTGCACCACACCATTTTAATAAAATAAATTGATTTATAAATTATGTAAGCCACTTTAACAAACCAGTTTAAAATTGAATTACTTTAATAAACAAGTTTATAATCAGTTTAAAACCAGTTTTATAATAAAATCAGTTTTTGAACCAAACCTTATAAACCAAAGGATGAAGGAAGAGGTGGAGGAGGCGCAAGAGCAGAATCTTGGTCTTCACTGATTTAACGGTGGAGATCGCGAGATGGGGGAAGCGCTGCTCTGTCCGACGGTTCCAGCAGCTCCCTCTCATCACCGTCGCAATGCGTGTTTCTGAGACGAAGATCTCTTTGAGCCGAACCGGTCCAGTTCAGCGGCGAGCCATCCCGAGCCGGAGCCTCGGAAGCAGAAAAAATGTGCACGAAATCGCGAGATAGGTTGCGTTGTGTGAAAGTGAGAGTTATCGCTGAAGAGTACCACTTGTTAGCGTTTGTCTTAGATCACATTGACAGGAATAGATGCGAGAAATGAAAATTAGAACTGTTGAAGGAATTCCTTATTTTTTATTTTATTTTTGCTCCACTGGACATCATCACTTTGGGGTGTTGTAGATCGTTTCCCACACTGTGGAGAAGCGGTGAGTCCGAGCGAGCAACAGAGTGAGCGAGCAACTAACCATACTGAAAATCTAAATATATTAATAAACCAAACCTTTAAAAAAATAGGTTTAGTTTTTTTGTTTTATTTTAAAAAATTAAATCTGGTTCAGTTTTATTATAATTGGTTCTAATTTTTTAAAAATGGTTCAGTCTAGTTTTAAATTCAGTTCAATTTTTTTAATTTTTTTGAACACCCCTACTAAAAAGGAGATTTGAGTTTGTTGGACTTAATTAGTACATGAGAGCATTTCATGAACTCATGTTCCAATCGCGAGATAGGTTGCGTTGTGTGAAAGTGAGAGTTATCGCTGAAGAGTACCACTTGTTAGCGTTTGTCTTAGATCACATTGACAGGAATAGATGCGAGAAATGAAAATTAGAACTGTTGAAGGAATTCCTTATTTTTTATTTTATTTTTGCTCCACTGGACATCATCACTTTGGGGTGTTGTAGATCGTTTCCCACACTGTGGAGAAGCGGTGAGTCCGAGCGAGCAACAGAGTGAGCGAGCAACTAACCATACTGAAAATCTAAATATATTAATAAACCAAACCTTTAAAAAAATAGGTTTAGTTTTTTTGTTTTATTTTAAAAAATTAAATCTGGTTCAGTTTTATTATAATTGGTTCTAATTTTTTAAAAATGGTTCAGTCTAGTTTTAAATTCAGTTCAATTTTTTTAATTTTTTTTTTCATTGGCTGTTAATTTTCATATAACATAAGGTTCAGTTTTATAAATTAAAGTTAATTTGAATAACATATCACCTAAAAATTTACGGAAACCGTAGACATGTACTCGTCAATGCTCTAGAATAATTTATTCTCACGTGGCCCTGTAGAGCGAAAGAACTTCAAATTCAAAACATCGCTTGTCGATATAAAACGACAAAAGTTCAATCTTTTTTCCCGATCCAGAGACACAAAACATGAACTGTTTTTCTCGTGGTCTTTCAACGTCATCTCTTAACTTTATACAGTACGTTATAATTTTTACACCTTTTCATTTTGAGAAAAGAAAAAAGAGATACAAGAACGGAGAAAAGGTGAATTGCCCTCTTTTTTTGCGAGAAAGGCGCACAAAGAAGTAAAGGAACAAATTTATAGACCACAATAATTTATTATGAGATGAGATAACTGTACACTCTTTTTTTAAATTAGAGAGAAAGTAAGAAAAGAAGAGAGTAAAATATGGTAAAGATAAATAAAGAGAAAAACAAATTATAAACATAACATAAACATACCTTTGTAATATATAATTTATTTCTTTAATTATGCATCTTTTTACCTGTGTGAATCACTAAAATTGATCTAAAAGTGGAGAGTTTTATGTTTGAATTTTTTTATAGTAATTCTTATGAATAAAATAAAATTATTTTGACCAATGACAATGTGCACCTCAATTATCGCATAGTATCAATTTTGCTCTAATTAGCGACATATAACTTTTTCCGTTTAAATATCATTTAATTTTTACGTCAATCTTTACGGTTAAAAACACGAATGATTCACCTTTCTTTGGTTAACAAGTATATTTTTATGTATAATTAATAGAGTTAATCACTATACTGTCCGTGTAAAGTTTTTTTTACACTGACAACCAATTATATCTCTTAATTGTGTCATGTTACTGTTAAAAATAAATGTGTTTACAATGATATGACATAATTAAGAGATATAATTAGTTGTCAGTGTAATTTTTTTTTACACTAACAGTGTGTATAAGTAATTAACTTTAATTAATATATAAAACATGCACTACAACGTATTAAAAAAAGAAAAAAACAAAGAGAGACGAAAGATATTTGACTTTTTTCTTTTTCATGAATAATAATTTTTGAATCCTCAATTTTTTTAAACACTTGGCCGGTTATCCATCATAATATCATATCACTCATAACATTTAAACATTTTTCTCATTTATCTTTGTTTCAAATAGCAATTGAAGAGTCTAACTATTTGTTTTCTTTTTGCCCCATGAAAATTACATGCAGTTGAAGCGAAAAGTATACGTACAAGTGATTAAAATGTAAGAACAACATTAATTTTATGGAAGATACATAAACTAATTAAAAGCGTGCACGTGCATGATGGTGACCGTAGTTGGAAAGACAAACATGCATAGGACAATTGGATCACAGTGGCATTTGAGCTTATTTGACAGACAGAAACGAAAAAGCAAAACACAGAAACGTAAGAAAAAGGCAGGGCCAAAACGAAAAGAGAAAGCTACATAACATCAAATCAACCCATTCCTTTCAATCTCTTTTTCCCCGGCTTTATTTAATAATTACCGCGCACGTGCGTGTGCATGCACATGCACGTGTTAGTGTGCGGCCCTTCAACGACGACGTTCCGGGGTCCAGTGCGGTAGCGCGGGGCTAAAATGAACGGAGTCCACCCTGGAGTCCAGCAACTCCGTTATGGGCGTGAAGGTGACGCAGCGCGGCACCTTGTACTGGTTAATGGAGGCGCCGCGCGAGATGGCGTAGTCCATAAGCTCCTCGAAGGTGCCACTCTTCACCACGCGAATCTCCAACGGCCCAATCGAGTGGTCCGCCACCCTGCCTTGTCGGTAAACCGCGTTAAGCGACTCTTCCATGCTCAAACAGCACCGCTCCAAAGCCTCGCACGTGGGTCGACGACCGTCACGCGAGTCCTTCATCAAAAGCTCGAAGTAAATGACGTAGTGCCCCGGGATGGACTTCGTGTCGGCGAAGCTCGTGTACTCCACCACGCTCGTCTCGAACTCCCTCAACACCACGGAGGCGCTCTCCACCGCCTTCTGCAGCTCCGCCTCGTCCGTTTTGTCCGAGTCGATGCTCAGAAGCACGTTCTTCCTCTTCACGAAGCGGAACCGCGGCGCGCTGTTGTGGAACCCCGCCACTTCTATGATGTCGCCCACACGGTAACGGCATAGACCCGAGTATGTTGTCAGCACCAGCTCGTAGGATTTTCCCAGCTCCACGTCGGCGAGGTCGATTAAAGGGGTGGAAGTGGAAGTGGAAGTGAAAGTGGAAGACGCATCGTCATCGTGAGGCATGAACTCGAAGTAACCCATGTTTGGCATGATGGTGTAGGAGACGTCGGAGGGGTCGCAAATTGGGGTGAGGTTAAGCCCGAAGTAGCACTCGGAGGAAGCGTACATGGTGCAAACGAGAGGTAAGCCACCGCTGTAGTAATTCAGAGTTGGAATGTACTGCGCCATGGCGCCAGTGACAATGACGTCGAGGTATTTTGTGTTTGGCCAGATTCTGGTGATTATGCGTTCCCAATTCTCTCCGGAGCATTCTTTGGCAATGAAATCAGCGAGTTCCGGGTCGGGTTTGAGGATCTGGGCCATGCGGTCCGTTATGGCGGGGTCGGTGATTTTGGGGTTTAGGGTTCCGGTGGAGATGTCGTGGGCCAGTTGGGCCCAGTTGAGGTTGAGGAAGCGGATGGCGCGGAGAAGGCCCGATGCGAAGACGGCTCCGACTCGGAGGACGTCGTGGCGCATGATGAGGCCACATAGCATTTGGGTGTACATGCTTTGGAAGGAATCGGGGCAGAGGATGGCTTCGTCTGGGCTTGTGTACACGTTGTATGGGTCGTAGGCTCTGTTTCTGAACTGCTCGCTCTTGTAGTAGCTTGTCAGCACTGGACGTGCCACTAACCCGCTTGGAGTCTTCGTCTCCGCTTTGATGAAGAGGAAGAGGAGGGACTTACCCTTGTCCATACCAGGCATGTATCTGGGTTCATTAATTAACGAGTGAGCATAAACACAAATTATAAACAAAATTAAGGGAAATATATATACTTACTGGTTCATCACTGGCATGAGAAGACTGTAAAGTAATTGGCGACGGTCCATCTCTTTACCAATGGTTGGCATCAATTTTCTCTCCCCAGCAGATGTTCCAGAACTGCACTTTCACCGTAGCTAGTTAATTCACATTAAACCCTAGCTAGGAATTTGTATAATAAATTAAAGGTGAGTTGTTAATGCAGGTTTGTAACTTGTAAGGTAAATTTTCATGATTGCAGAAGAATATTAATAAAAATATCCATCTTTTGTTAATACATTTTAGACGGTGTAATGCAAAGTGCAAAGAGATAGGTATATACCTGGTGAGAAACTCAGAGATTGGGTGAGCGCACAAGATAGGGGAGCGGTCACCGTTAGCAATGCGTTGGATATCATGTTTCAAATCCTCGTAAGAAACGACAGGAACCTTGGACTTGAAAGTGTCACGGTCTGTGGCTCCATTGAGCTGAAACCGTTTGAGGTACTCGGTGTGGGCGTTTTGGGCCAAAATCTCAGCAAGGACTTTGTCTTGGACAGTGTCAGTGTTTCGGGTCATGTTTTCAATGAACTGCAAAGCCTTTGCGTTGTCATCATGACAATGTGCAAGAGAGGATGGGGATATCTCTGCAGAAATGACCATGGTGGATTAATTCTGACAAGTTTTAAGGTAGTAGGTGACTAGTGTGGTTGTAGCTAAGGTGAGGCTGAGGGGGAAGTTAAAGAAGAGGCAGAATGAGAGAGAAGCGGAGTATGATGAGTTTGGATGGAGAAAAGTGGCGAAGTGGGATAGGTATTTATAGTAGAGTGGGAGACATGGAAGGGAATTGAAGCATGTGTCACAGTGGACGTCAGCAGTAGTTTGGAATGACGAGGGTCTTAATGGGGATCCGTGAGGCAAAGAATTGCATATGTTTCAATTATTGTAGGCTATTCAGAAGACACGTGGGCCATGCAACACGGAGAGATGGGAATCGTGGCCGACACGTGGGCCAGGATGTGTCGCCACGTCAGCAAAAGTTTTGGTAGTGTAGCCCTCGGGAGAACCACGCTGCCATTCATTTGCAGGGTCTGTTGGTATCAGAAAGTGATGGGTGCTGGCTGCGCCAGGGATTTGTGACAAGTTTTCCGTTGTATGGACAAAATTACACTCCGGCAGTTTGCAAGTTATTATACCCTATTTTCGCCCTCTTACTACATATGATCAAACTACTTCACTTAATTGTCTGCAATTTTGACAGTCCTTTTTAATTTAAATAATTATATTTTAATCACAACAATTTTATATAATAAAATTTTAATTAATAATTATTTCTAATTTATACTATACTTGTGCCATGCACGAAAAATAAATTATTATAATCAATAAATTTTATTTTAATATTTAATATATATATATAATTATGAAAATTAATTGAACTCAATGTAGTATGAAGAAAAATATTTGAATATATAAATAAAATAATAATGATAAATGATTGAAAATATGATAATATGAAGTATTAGGAAAATTAAATTGCATTGTGTTTTAGCTTCAAAAACATCAACATCTACAATATGAGCTAATGCATTAATTTGAAGAAAAAAAATCTTATAATTAACTTATAAGAGGTGTAATATTAAAATGTTATAAAGCCGTAGAAATTCAAATAGACAGGAAACAAAATTAAATTTTTACCTTATACAGTAATTATGTAATGACTCTTGAACACATCCATCGTGAAAAATAAACTTGGTGAAATGTCTAAAAAATTGGTAAAATTATAACTAAAATAGACATGTTTTCCTTTTATAATGTTATTATAAAAAAATGCAAGTTACCTATGTCAGAGTCTGAAAGACTTCTTTATAAACTACATTAGTAATAGATTTTGAACCATTTACCTCATCGTCACAAATAAGAATTTTCAGACCACTGCGAGATGTGACTGGAGATATCACGACAAATAATTGGCCATGTGAGAAAACAAATTGTGGAAGATAGATGGCAACATGCTTCAATAATTGTCCTAGACTTTTATTTAATTTTTGTGGTCATTTCCCTTGTGCATGACTATTATGATTTGATTCATATTCTTCGAACAACATGTCATCAAATTCATTATTTTGATTTGATGTGCGGTTTGCTCTTTGCCTAGATAATATCTTAACTATAAAACAACAAAATAAAAGGATAATCAAATAAGAAATTGTAAATATAAACATTATAAAATTAAATAATATAGTTATATCAAAAGAAATAAGACTCCATAAATTACCATTTGTGACATTCGACAATGGAGACAGTGTTAGATCAATGTGCATTATGTGTAAATTGTTCTCATACGTACACCTCTTCTAACAACTCTATTTAAGACAATGTTAAATCGATGTGCATTATGTGTGCTATCATTGACTGAAAAAAAAAAACCTTGTAAATAAGTTTCTCCATAAATATTTTTGAGAAATAAACAATATATCAAAAAAATTTGGTTAGTATTAACATGTTAACCTGACAGTTGTTACATCAAAAAATTGAGACATATTACATCGACATTGCATAGGTACAACTTTACCAAATAATAATTTATCTCCAACAAAAGAGGGGGAACATTTTGACTATTGGCACCTAGTAATAATGATAACAAAATATGAATAATCATTAATTTTCAAACATATAAATAGAGTGAGACATCTTTTACAAAATTTAATTTTACCATTAATAATATCAAACAATGGAATACTACATAATTCTACTTGATTAGATTCACTTCCTCCAATAAAATCATTTACATAATGCTCACGAGAATGATCACTTAGAATATTATTTCTTGCAATTGTAAAATACACACTCATATATTAATTACATTTTAAAGTGCTTTATATAATTAAATACTTTAAGAAAAAAGTATTTTTTTTATTATGTAACGTTGGGACATATTATGACTCCCCATTGGTGACATTTGAATGACACACTCTAACACATTTACTGTGATTACAATATTGAACATTTTCATAGAATGATTTTGAGTTATTTTGTTTTTCTCCAACATTATCATCCATAACACTGCTTGTCTATGAATACTCAAAATCTGAAGAAACTAAAGAAAATGTTAAATATCTATTATAAATAATTTATAATGTTTAGCATTGAAATAAAATTTAAGAAGTTCAACCCGTCAATAAATAAATTTATTTATTTATTTTCTTAAATGACTCTTGCTTAATCTAAAAGGACAATACTACTGGGAGGGTATGCAGTGTACTAACAGAAGTCAAATGCTCACCTATTAAGTTCTATTTTTCCTTTTAATTATAAATTAACAATTAAAACCTTCCAAACAACCATAAAGAGTTATACAACAATCCTTTGTCTTTTCAATATGAATCAAAATCATAAACATTTAGAAAATTATTGTTTGGCAAGCTAATAAAAGGTTAGATAATTTTAAAATCACCAGCAAGGTATATGTTTAGCAGTAAATAAATGAGGCAATAGGATCTTTAGCATTGAAAGAGAAAAAAAAAAAAGTCATATTGAGAGAATAATAGTCGCAAAGGAAGAAATATATATACAACATAATTTTTCAAAATAAATTTCAGTATATATATGAGGCATAACATGTTCAGCTTGGATGGTGATTAAATTTTAGAAACCAATAATCACTCATGGTATATACGATGTAGTAGATAAATCCATCAATTGAATCATTTGTGTTCAAAAAGAGAGAAAAAAAATAACATTGAAAGAAGAATATTCAGACAAGAAGAAATAAAAAATAAGGAAAGGATAATAATATTATAATAATGTATTTTAATAAAATACTTTAAATAAATAACATAACACATACCTCTTTTAAAGTATAAAGTGTCTATCCTCTGTCGTATAAATAATACTATATTATCAATGACATAATAAAAAATGAACAGCTTCTAACATAACAATCTAAATAACGAGACTTTAATATTTTAATATTAAATACATTTAATTGCTGTTGCAACTATTAAAAATAAAAATGAAGAGTCATTCACCTTTTAATCATGCACTGCAAGAATCAAACACTAAATGCTCATCGAAGAAAACAAAATTCACTTGGTTTTATTAATTGAGTTTATCTAAAAAATCATATCCCCCAAATGCGCACAAAAGCCACCTTCCAAAAGTTTTTATTTTGTTACTTTAAAGCAACCAACAACCAAATGCTTTAATTATCCTATGAGATAGTGATTATTTTGGTTTATTTGCTTTAACCAACCATCACCAATCAAAAAATATATTAACCTTAAAAAAAAAATTTCTGTTTACTTGTGTAGCATCTTTACTGGTAGAAACCTTAATTTAATTTTTGAATCAGTAATCAAAGTATAAAATCTAATTATTTTGAAAATCATTATAGAAAAAAAAAACTAAACAAAATTTATAGTATTTGTTTAAAAAGAAATTGTGTAAACACATAAATATAATTAATATTACAATATTATTTTTTTTACAACTACGATTGGTGTACATTATGTTCATGGTATTATATGATTGGGTTCAGATCTCGTACAATATTTCTCTGTTAATGAGAATTATCAATTGACATTAAAAAATTGTAATCAATACATAAGAAGTTATGTATAAATACTTTTCATTCATGTTAAAACAATATTATCAAAAGAAAAAATTGAAGTGAAGGATATGTAATGAGTTGGAAGCAAAATAGAAAGGTCAAATTGGAACAATCTAACAATACTACATAAAAATAAGGTTATTATTTGAATTATAATAAAAGATATTGAGTTGTAGGATTTGTTAAAAAAAATCGAAAGATTTGGATCAGACTAATTTCATTTATTTTAAAACAAGGTTATTATTTGAATTATAATAGGTAAAAAGAATTAAAAGAATAGAGGAAAAAAATACATTAGCTTCTAAAAAGTAGTCATGTTGTATTTTAATAAAAAAAATTTGATTAAAACCATTATTGCATATCTTAATTGAATCAAATCAGTAAATTAGCAATTATACTAAGGTTATTGATAATTATATGTGATCAGTGTTAACTCACGTCTCACCAAGGAGTAATATATAAATCAACTAAAAAAATAAAGTTATGTCAATCAACTCAAAAATAAATTAAGAAATTTAAAATGAAAAAGAAATAAGAATTACTTAATTTTAAAATCTAGTAATATCAATATGCTTAATTAATTGCAATAACAATGAACTTAAAAAACATATTAAGGAAAGACTAATATCTATTTAATATACAATCATGTTAAAAAGTGTTTCAAGTTATGTATAAATACTTTTCATTCAGGTTAAAACAATATTATCAGAAGAAAAAATTGAACTTTAGGTCATGTAATGATTTGGCAGCAAGATACAAAAGTCAAATTGGAAAAATCTAGCAACACTAAATAGGATTTTATCAATTAAAAATGCAAGAATATAATCTAGAAATAATAACTATTAAGGAAAAGCTATTAAGTAAAAGTTAATATATTAATATGAATAAAAAATAAAGAATTAAAGAAATATATTTACAAGAGGGTTATTTTTTTTTTGGTAAAGCTACAAGAGGGTTATTATTTGAATCAAACAAATTTCATTTATTTTAAAATAAAGTTATTATTTGAATTATAATAGGTAAAAATAATTAAAAGAATAGAGGGAAAAAATACATTAACTTCTAAAAAAGAACATACGTGCAAAAAAAATTATCAATATCTTCACTAAAATCATTGACTCATTGTAATTGATTCTGGAAACAATATCCTTACTAATCATAATTTTTTGGTGAAGATGAAATTTCCAA